AATTTCTGCATATTTATTGAAAGGTTCTCATTTAAGTGTTTTAAAAAGATATTTACGCGCAAATGTCATATTGTTTCCAATAAAATTTACTATGTACTTTAAAATTTACTTGTAACTATGTAATGTAATTATATCAAGTTTTTTCAATGGGAAAAGCATTATTTTCATTTACATAATGTTTTAAATAGAATAAAATGAACTAATAATAGTAGCAGATATTTACAAAGGGTATTGCTGACAATGTTTTCTCTCAATTTTTTTAATCTATTTAAAAGCAATTGCTTGTTCTTTACTTTTCATCTTCTTTATTATTTTTATATACCTAATACTCTTTCCACAACCTTGACTTCTAACTTCCAAACTAGTGTCTCTTAATGCGGTCGTATTTTTATTTACAAATGGACTTAATGTAATTTCCAAACATTTGTTATGACTAACCGGGTCAATTTGACTGAAATGGTTATACTTTGAGTGTCTGTAATAACACAATAAATTATTATCGTACAATTATCGTACTTATCATTATTTTTCCTTTTGATTATTATTGATTTGGTTATTGTTATTGATATAGTTCGACTCTTCCTGTATAATAAATCAAGACTTAATCCGAAAAGCAAATATACGATATGAAATTAAATCTTATTTCAAATAAATGTAGCTTCCACAAATTGGTTTTCATTTATTAGTTTTCTATGTAATGGAAATCTTATATATAATCATTTATAGTGACTTTTAATGAGTATATTATAATTATTGCAAATTATAATTTAAATACGAGGAGTGAAGTATATGACACTTCCGATATACATTATTAAATGAAAATATAATTTTTATCGTTTAATTAATGATATGTCAATTCGTACAAAATAGAAATTACATTTGTATTAAGCATATCACTGAATTATAGAATAATATAATTGTGTAAAAATAAAATTGTGTTATCTAAATTGCATTATATATATATATATATATATATCTTAATCGATAATTTATATATTATATTATTATATATTATTATTATAAAATAAATTATATGTTCGAAATGCTGTCACATTAAAAAAATTACACACGCACGCACGCACGCACGCACGCACACATATATATATATATATATATATATATATACACACACGCGCGTGCATACACACATCTATAGTGGAATTAATATATATCGATTATAAGCATATAGATTAAGATAGATATATAAAAAATATATATTTATGAGAGTTATAAAATTATTTTCATTTTTGAGAATGATATTTGATTTACAAATAATTTTTAATTAAGTTCTTATTACATCCTCATATGAGTATAGAAACTTTTTAGAATAACAAATATTATGAAAGCAAATGAAGCTACTATAGGATCAAATAAGGAAATTAATTTATTTAAATAGAATAATTGTTAATTAAAATTAACAATTATTACAAATTAGTCCTTTCAAATCCATATTTCTTAGATATTATTGTTATTTATTATTAATTTCTAGATTTTAATGTCATTTAAAAATTTAAAGTTAATAAGTACTAATAGTAAATATTTGAAAATATTGTTAATAATTTTTTCTTTGTTAATCCTCAAATTACAGTATAGTTAGAAATAAAATTAAAATCAAAACTGTGTTTGAATTTTCGAAATTTTAACATATACATTCATTATTATATCATTTAATATTACATTATTATTACAATTATATTACAATTATTATTACATTATTATATTACAAACATAAAAAAATAAAATATACAATTATTCAATTTTTTTTTAATTATTTACAAAAGTATGGTAATTTGAATTTTTTTAATTTTAGAATTCTTAAATCGTTATAATAAATAGAATAATGAATGATTAAAATTTATTTAAAAGAATTTTCAAAATACGTATTATACAAAACATAAATATTTTACGAGCAAATATTTATAACATAAGCATGAACATATATACAAAAACAAGATGGAGTGATTTTAAAAATTCTATTTTGATAAATTATACAAAATTTAATATTTATGTAACAAAATCATACTAAAAAAACTCTTTTTACTAAAAATAAAAGTATCGAATAGAAAATCTGTTTGTATGAACAAGAATTTTAAAATTAATATTATATTAACTGTGCTACAATTAATTTAATTTTATAAGCATTTTCATATGTATAAAAATATACTTAAAAATATACTGAAACTGTTTTTAATCATTGTAATTTCAGATGAAAATCATATTCAATAATATTTTACAGTAATTTTTAATAAATCAAGCGCAGAATGATGAAAGGACCCGTTGATTTTATTCTATTTATAAAATTATATAATAAACGTGTTATTTTATTTGACTGAATATATTTACTACTGTCATTAAATTGAAATTTTCAATATTTATTAAAAATTAATTATTTCTTATAAATAAATGCTCATATCCGTACCTAATTAGATATAGTTAAAGTTCTTTGAAAATTTAACCATACAAAAGCAAAATGATGAATAGTAAAACAAAAACATTGAAAAATATATATTTTGCTTTCCGTTTATTCAATATTTTCCTTTTCTACATGATTTTCCTTAAAAAAAAATTTGAAATTCGAAGGTATTCATTGTAAAGTAAAAACATAAAGTTTTTCGTGACTTAGGGTTTTATTTTACTTGCTTAATTCTTGAAAATGTATATCGATATTCAAATATAAACAAGTACAAGCTACATAATTTTAATTGAAAACAAATCAGAAATTACAGATACGATTTATTCACTTTTTCAGCGTCAAAAATTTTTCTTTCTTGAAAACACGGAATAAATTTCAAATAGATAAAATCGTCCATTTCATTCGATCTCTCACGCGTGCTTCGAGTCATCTAGGATTTTTCCGTTATCGCAGCATCACACTTGAATTCATTCCTAAGAAATCCAATCTATAGGCATCTATAGGGTGGATATGTAATCCAGCGCGAATATCTCCCTTGTCGATGCGCCTGCGCTCTAAGGCTTATTTGAGTTTCGCTTTATCAAATTGCTTTCCAATTTAGCGATTCGATCAGCGAATGTTTGATATAATTCTCAAGGCAAAAAGATGTATTTGTCAGAAATTCTCCACAATTTCACAGAAATAATATGTAAGAATGCAAGTTTTAACAAATGATGAATAATAAAAAGATTGCAACTGTGTTCCCATTTAATGTATACAGATATGGATTTAAAGATGATCACCATCCGATTTTTCATAATATAAAATATTTTAATCAAATTATTTTCATTGTATATATTTATTATACCTTTATTAAATGAAAATTTCGAACATTCAGTGAAATCTATTTTTATCTCGACTAAAAGCATAAGCATATACACAAACATATTTTATTTAACAACTTTCAATGGACATATAAAAATATTTAATGATGTAATTACATAGATATTTATAATGTTCTATTAGAGAATACCGTTGGCATATATATAAATGTAACTCTAGTGGATTTTGAAAACCAAAATAATAGCTCAATTTAGCTTCAATATTTATTTCCTCATATTCAACGAATATTTCAAGATGTTTCCGATTAGCAACAAAGCTTTTGCGAAATTATACTTTATATTATTTATTATGCATATGTTTTGCGAAATTTATTTACATAATATAAAATTTTGTCTTCCTTCAATTAAAATTACCATATAATTTAAAGAAAGTTTTAGTGTTTTGAAAAGAATATGTGATATATCTCACTTAATTTTGTAACATTACTAAATATATATATATATATATATATATATATTTAAAAGAAAATATTTTTGAAACACTTATAAGTGTATACTTATATATATATTTTCAAAAACTATATAATTATTAAAAGTACCATTAATTTGTGTATAATTAATGGATCTCATATAAAATAAGCATATAAAGCTTATAACATGAATTTATAATATGAATCTATTATAAAAATTATTTTCACACATTTCTATTACAATATTTTTACAATAAAAAATGTTCATCTTCTTATTAACAGATGAATTTTTAAACTACGCATTTTAATAGATTATTGACAAATATATTTTTAATAAAAAAAAATTCATTATTGCTTATTATTGAGTTTCAACAATTTATCTAAAAATATTTTTGTAAATAAATAAATTAAATTGATTTGATTTTGCTTTCATTAATATTTATTGTCTTTAATTAAGCCAATAACACGTAATCGCAGATAATTGACTGTCTGTTTCGTAAAGTAAAAATGAATAGTGTCCAATGTAATATTGATAAATAAAGTATCATTATAATTGGTTAGAAGTAATATGAAATCGCTTTGCAATATAATACAGAAACAAAAAGAGAAGAAATATTCAATATTTTTCACGTACCGTTTCCTCGTATCGCACAATAAACACTGAATCTCACTTAGCAAACAATATGCAATTCTAAGTGTACTAGTGGCTTGCTTCCAAGGTTTTTGGTTTATTACTTTCAACTTTGTAATTTCTCTATACGTTCGCTCTCCTTTTCTTTTAAATATTTTCTGTCTAAATTTCTAATTAGAACATTAAAATCATTTCAATTTTGATTCTATATAATTAATTAATTTTATTTTTATCAATACAACTCTTTAACAAGTTGTCAACTTCTGTTAATCCTATATTTTTACTGCGAGTAGTATTACCTAAATAAATTTTACTTTTTAGTCAAAATAAATTTTAAACGTGATGATTGTCCGTATGCTGATTAAAAAATATTTTCGCTTTTATTAAAAAACGGGTATTTCATAAATATTTATTTGGTAGTATATTAAACTGAAACTGTTGTAATATATTTTACATTTCGACTATTTCATATTACGAGGGAAACATTTTTATATTCATTTACTATAGTATTTAGTTAATATAATTTTATAAGGTAAAAGAGGATCATACGGTTAAAAATTCATAATTAATCCTCATTAATTATGATTATCAAATAATTTGCATATGCATAATTTAATTAACTTACATAATGGTATAATTACATCCATAATGACATTTTTTTTTAGGTTGCTTGTTTAGTACGAACCTGTGTAAATCAGAAGTGGAAAGCTGTTACAATGGTAAGAATTGAAAGACAAAAATGTAAATAAATTTAAGATTTGGTTATTTTTATAGATCTAGCATTTGGACGATGTATAGAACTTGGTGATGATGCACTAGAGAAAGATTTATATCAGTAAGTATATATTTTTTGTTACTTGCCTTAAAAGGTTATAAAAATATTTTAAAACATGCTAACAGAATTATGCCATTATCGTAAAATTTTGTCTTCCATTTCGCTAATACGTAATTCCATCCATAACACATTTAATATTAAAAACACTAGTAAGATAATAATGAACAATATGTATTAAATAAAATGCACAAAATCAATTCAGATAAAAAAGAATTTATTTATACATAATACATAATTTATATATATATATATATATATATATATATATATATATATATATATAATAATTTTACTAATATAATCTGCTGTTATAAAAAATCTATATTTATTCAGAATTATAACTTATAGCATATATTATGTATCGCTTGACAAATTCGAATATAAAATTATATTATAAGAATAAAATAACATCATATCGAACTTACCTATTGCAAAATTATCATAGAAAATATTTTATTTAAAGAAAAGGATAATATTGAATAAGGCTTATAATACTGAAAAGAAAATTGTCGTGAAACAAACTTTATATTGAATTTAGATTAAATATTGGTTTACAATTATATTATGTGTACAATACCTATATAACGCTACTTATATATAATAATTATTCTAATATCATTGCCGATAAACCTTCATGCAATTATTGAGAATTTAAACCCACCGAAATAACGCCAGTATGTAATTAAACATAATTCAATTAATAATCAACTGTCGGGATATCAAAACATCGTCCACAATTCTTGATTTATTGATTATGTACCTATATGTGCTACTCACATAGAACTCAAACTTCCAGGTACGATTTAGAGCCAGAAGAGCTGGAATTATTACGTATGCAACTTGAACGACTGGAGCATGAGGGCTACAAGTGGTCGCACGATTATACGCAATGCATCATGCAAATATTACTTGACGATCTTCGTTACAGGTAAATATTTAGACCGAAGTTGAACTTGCCAGCGAATATTATGCATTTGCTATTCATTGAAAATATAATTAGTCTATTATGTAATGAAATTCATGTTGTATTAACTAAGATGGTATGGCTATTAACTATTGATATGTGTTTTGAATCAATACAATTTTTAACGTTTTAAATAAATTATAGATTGAACAACGATGTTGAACATCTCTGCAAAAATTTGAAATTTCGAGATGAAGATATTTATGACGAAGAGAACGAGATAATTGATAACAATGATATCGAAAGTGTCAGGGTAAAGTTTTTCTTTTACTTTGTATATATAAATTTGTATTTATAGTGGTGCTATTACATATACAATTGAAAACATAATATACATATATAATAATAAATTAATTAAATAACTTGTTTCTTTCAAATGTTTCAAGTGTTTTGTAAATGATGCAATATATAATTTGTTTATAAATAAGAGTTACTAGTTACAAAAACGTATTATAATTATCTTTTATTAAAATAAATTTTTGTTGCTGTATAAGATAATATCATAGGATAAGTTAAGATAATCATAAGAAAATATATTTTCTATAATAAATTGATGCATTTCAATGTTAAGTAATAATTGCATTAATATAAAAAATCATTTTATTCATATAAAAAATTCTAATTACATTATATTAACAATATTCATAATGATTTTAATGTATTTAATCAATATTTTTAATTTTATTTTAAAGCATATTTAAGTTTAAAAAATTGATTAGTACAAACATATACAATTTACAAATACTTATCCATTTTCATATATAATATTAATAGTAGTATATAGCATTAATAAAATAAATTTTTTTAAATAAGATTATGACACAAGTTTATTATAAATATTTTAGAAAATTATATTATAATTTCAGTTTATAATTCTACTTAATTTTTCATTTTAATAATGTAAAAAATTTTAAATACTAATTTTAAAAATTTCAAAACAAAGTATTACTTTTCTCTCTAAATTTAAATTTAGCTTTGAAATATCTTGATTATAAATAAATTGTTCAATTGTAAATGCAGTGTTTCGTTATAAATAATTTGTTAAAAGTTTCATGAAAATGTATCTTTAAAAATGTAAATTCTAATTAAAATGAAATTATTCACGATTTTATACGATTAATTATACGATTTTCTGTATTAACAAAATATTTTTTTACGCTACAGCAGTATATACAGATCAATTCACTATAAATGAATTAACATTTCTTGATTTATATAGAGATAGTACATTGAGATTCATTTGTTACTTTTTTCTTGCTAAAAATAAAAAGTTACTTACAAAGTAAAAGTAAAATATCATTAAAATAATAATAATTTTTTGATTATATTTGCAGTTGCATATTAAAAAATATCGTATAATCAGTAATATTTATCGATATGCCTAAAAAAATTATAATCAATTTCAGTAGAAAGCCATAATGAAGTTTTATATTGTTTACTAATAAATATATTGATAAAAAATATAATTGATATATAGAATAAATATAAATATATTATAAATATAATATAAATAATATAAATATAATATATTTTGTACATTGAACCAACCAATTTTCATTTAGTTCAAATACAAAAGTTGTTAAATTTAATATTGTATTTATATAAATATTTATATAAATGTTTGTATAAAAATAAAAAAATGCAATATTTCTGCAATCAACTGCATATTACCTATTGAAAATTTAATTTTAAATAAATTCGATGAAATTATTTACTTTAGGCTGTCGAGCCAATAGCCATAGTGAAATTTACACCGAGTAAAATAAATCCGCACGGGGAATTCGCCGATGAATTTTATTACCCACCAGATATGAAGCAGAAGATTGCTGAAGAGAGACGAAAAGCAGATCGCTTTGATGATTACGACGAGAGCTTTTACGATAAATTAGGTGCTTTGGGTAATCCTACAGAAGGTTTGTACATTTAGTTACTTTGTTTGTCCAATTTAAGTTCATATATTAGAGATTCTTGTTAAGTACATACAAAGTAAAATCGATTTCTATACTTTCTCGATATATTTACTAAAAAGACTGATTAATTTCATTTTCACATAAAATATGCTTTTAGTATTAATTATTTTTATATGCAAGAATGCTGATTTTGACGGTTTGAAATATTTATTTAAATTTTAAACATAAAAGTAAAAGATTGATCACTTACCAATAATTCATATCCCAATAATTATAAATAAATTGATTTAAACTTTATAATTTTTTATGCATGTCATTATTATTAGAAATTTTACGAACATAAATAAGTTAAAATTAATCAAATATATCAGCTTTTGTAATAACTCTTTCAAAGAGAAAATGTAAACGAATCGACAAATATTAGTAAGACATAATAAAAAATAATTAAATATAGAAATAATATATTAGTATAAAGTTAATTGTAAATCATTATTTACTAAAATCAATAAATGATACAAAATGCAGAACCAATCAAGAAGAATAATGCTACTAATATATTTTTATAAATTTGTTTATTACAAAAATTATTTTATCTGTTTCATCATTATTACACTGTAATGTTATATATATATATATATATATATATACATATGTATATCAAATATAAATAAGTGTAATTTATATAAAATATATTTATATATAAATAAGATTATAATTTTTTCATAGTTGTAAAATATTAAAGTACTCGGAAAATAAAAACTTGGTAATAATTTTAGTTTCTGAAAACTCTTACTTACTCTTTTTAATTACACTTTATTTCAAATAATTAAAGTTTTATAATATATGTTTGACAAGGAGATGATATAATAATGATATCATTAAAATCAAATACATTCAAATACTCAAAATCGATCGATTAATATAACTTTCTAAAAATTAATAAATAGGTAACCGACCGTATATGTAAACATGCATATATATATATATATATATATATATATATATATATATGTACACATTACTATGAAATGAAATAAAAGCATTTGAACAATATTTGTATTTCCATCGCTTACTAATGATTCATACGAACACGTACGTCGTTATATCTTTTTAACATTTGACACAATCCTCTTTTAAAAATATATTTTATCGCGCATTATAAATACGCTAAGTAAGAACCCTTTATTTTTATTTATTTTTTTTTTTTATCTAAAACAAGCAAGATAGTAGGCTTGCAATGGGCCATCATCGAGATAGTTGGTGCTTATCTATTAATAAAGGTTGTGCTGACCGCTTGATAATCCAACCCAACCTAAGGAAAACGAGCCAGCAACATAACAAAGCATTTTTCAGTTTAGCCGAGTGTAAATTTCAGACCCAGAATTTCTCGCACATGGTACACAGATTACCACAATATGCTTTTTGTGCAAAAACGCAAATTTATATATATATGTGTGTATATATATATGGAATTTGGTGGACGGCCTCTTGCAGGTTTCTCAGTCATTAGTCGCGAGAATCCATTAGAATAGCAGAGCAACTGTTTCGATGGTGACTCAAGGGGGTTACGGGATGATTACAGCCCCTAAAAAGCACGCAAAATCATATAATAATTTTAAGACATTCTAGTTTGCGAATAATTTTAGAAAAATTCTATTTAAAGTTTGCTGAATGCTAAGAGGCTACGGGCACGGTATCATTAATCCTTCTTCAATTATTCACTTTGTCTTAAACTGCAATGTAGAAAGTTTTTTATATGCGAGATATGCTCTACGATTATATACAATGAAAGTTATATTAAAATATCACTAGTAAACCATTGAAATACATTATTTATAGTTACTTTAATAAGTAATTCATATTTTTTGGCAATTTGAATTTAACTGTCGGCTAGTTGTAAACCATAGGAAATTCATATGAAACATATATTGATTATATAGAGTTGTATTTTTATACACGAACTAAAATAAAAATTTCATATGAAATCTAAAAATTTTCATAATATTTTGTATTTACATATGTTCATGCAGTTTACCGTAGAGGCTCACGATCTTTAAATTTAAAGTCAATGGATGATTCTCCACCTTTGGCATACGGAAAAGAAAATTACGCAATTCCACGAGAATATGCAGAAGCTCTTCGAGATTTCTTAAGCAGCGAAGCAAATTTATACGAAGATTCGGATAATGATCAATTGGAGTTTCTACCCAATAATGAAAAACCTGTTAAGATGAAAGACGAGTTTCATGACTACGAGAAGACCTTCTCTAGGAAATATAAAAGCCCAAGTGAGCCGAAGGGTATTGATTTTCTGGATCATCGGGATGAAAAGATTCATAACAACGACGACAACGACGACTACATCGACGACGAAATAGTAGATGATAGAGATTTTATCAATAATAATCCCATCGATAGAACGATAATTGATTCGTTGGCTGACCAAAGTGAAATGTTCAGCGAAGGTGGTACTACGCTTCCTTTTAGGCGGGGTATCATTAGACCAGGTGAGCAAATGAGACATTTGATTCGTGTACAATAAACAATTTGTTTATAAAAATTACTTTATCATTAGCCGCATTTGTGCGAAAATTCTTTATTATTGTATGTAGAGAAAATACAAAATTAATTTAAAAATTGCTGTTATTTATTATGTCTAGACTCGTGGAAAGAAAAAAAATTTCCTTTTGCTAAATAAATATCTCCCTAAAATATATAACCTATTAATTCAATCAATAATTTATTTAATTACATTTATATTTAATATTTAATAAGATGTTCGATATTCAAAATATTTATTAAATATATTTAGTTTTATAATTTTCGGGAATTTTATGAAAAAATTATTTCATTTGTAATATTAAATTTGTCATAAAATAACTGAATACTCTATGTTTGAAATTTACTTCTAAAAATTCGGTTATATAGTAAGTAACCTTTATCATATGTTAATATATTTAAATTCTATCGAATTTTAGTAATGTAACGGTATTTATAATTTTAGTCATTTTTTCGAAAATTTAATTTTTTATGCAAATTTTTAATTAACATTTAATTATTTGCGCTGGAGATGGCTTTTAATTTACATAAATTTATTACAATTTTTACAGTAATATCTAATAATATTTAAAATTTCCATAAATGAATAGTAAAGGAGCATAGTTGCAAGTAATTATGTTAAAATATAATTATAGTTTAAATTGTTAAAAATAATATTTGTAAATGACTTTGTTGGCAGTGGAAAGGAAGATTTTATAGAAAGGATATATATATATATATATATATATATATATATATATATATTAGTTGGATCCACATTACATACACATTTTACTGAATTACGTTCAGTTATTTCATCATACTCATTAAAATTATTATATTAAATATCAATAAATGAATATCACGTATATAGGTATTAGTAATAAATAAAAGGACAATATTAAATATGAAAAATAAATAGTACTTGTTCGATTGCTCATGTTATAGCTTTTCAATGCCAACCTCTTAATTATCAATATTATATAATGCTAAGAACATAATAAATTTATATAACGATAATTATTTAAATATATTTAGTCTGATATAAAGATTAAAATGATGTTTTAAATCCAGTGCATTAAAGACTTTAACAAGTTTGTTTTAAAAATTGCTCTTTTTTCAGCACTCTAAGAACTTTAACGATACTAATTGATAATAAAAGTCTAAATCATGTAAAATCTAATTGCCGTCTCGTAAAAATCTTTAAAAAAAAAATGTTAAAAATAAAATGTAGTTTATTTTTATACATGAAAATCCTTTTAAGGCATATAATTCTAACTAACAAATGCTTTTCATTACGTACGAAAATTAATGTTTGAAATACAATGTACGGGCGTAAGTTCTTAATGACGTAGGTTTTATCGATCCCCTTTATATATGGACAAATAAAAACATACTACAGATCTGATAATAAACAGCTCTAAAATAATGATGGGAAACAGAGAGATTATCACCGAGAAAATATCGATACCTTAAATGTGATTTATACGATACTTTCCTTCGAAATTCATTAATTAATATTAATTATTTTTACAAAGCATACAAAATAAAGTTTATTCAATGAAAATAATGTGCACATTATAAATCGTATAATTTACAATAATTTACAATATAAGAATATAATTTTACGTCATCAACTTTCTTAATAGCATAAGTCCAATAACCTTGTTTCCCGTCGTAACGAAGTTCGGCTATATTTTAAGCTATTCTGAAGTAAAAATCGACTTGAATATACTTCTAGCAATTGTGTATTGTAATTAAAATTCTAATGAAAACATTTCAACTCCATCTCACTTGTATATCGTACTTGCTGTCTTTATGTATTTTAATTATAACCTCAGGTTGATCACTTATTTTCCACTTATTTTTATATCATAAAAATTAAATGAAATATTTTTGTAATGAAATATTATATGTAACAATTTTATGTAGATTTTTACTTATCGTAATGGTTTTAATAACCATTTAATTACATAACCTATACAATAGATTTGTACAATTAAATGGAATTGAAATATTCTATTTGATAATTTTTTAATTAAAAATTTCCAAAAACATATTTAAACAAAAGATCTTTCTTTTCTTCTTTTTTTTTTTTTTTTTTTTTTCATTAAAAGCATTCCATTTTCTTAAGATTGATATTAAATTAATGTCATTTTAATTATATAAATTAAAAGTTTATTTGATTGTAATATAGTCCGATCAATTATTAAATTATATGCTTTCTAATTATAGAGTTGTTATACACCCGTTTTCAATTATAAGAAAATTAGAATAATTATGTTAGCTGTAATAACTACCATAAAAAGGTATCATTATCCTAATTCTTAATTAATTTGTGTTTTAATAATAATTTTAAAAGACATAATAATGTATGAAATATTGAAAGCGTAATGAAAATATAACTTGAAAATTATTTATAGAAGAATATGATGACGTAACTCTCAACAACGACTTCGACGACATGCTATGGAGGCGAGAATTAGCGGGTTTCAAGCGACGAGAGCGTTTAGATGTAAAGAAACCTGGTCCACCATTTTCAACTAATAATTATGCATTTAAGACACAGTCTCCAAATAGTATGCGTAAAATGAAAATATTACAATTTTCTACTGTTTAATGAGCATTTTTATTAAATGGAAAAAAATTTATAGGTCTCGGTGATGAAATAAATGATGAAAGTGCGGAGGAAGTAAGTTTATTTCTCTAAACTTATCAAATGCCCCCTGTTTATTTTAATTAAATTTTAGTTCAATGCCGTAAATACATCTGTAATTGTATTTTTGTAGAGTAACGAAGTCGTGCATTCACCACAAGTAAAAAAGGAGATTTATAATCTGAAAGTGAGCAGCTCGCCAAAAACTTATGAAAATGTAGATCTCGATCATGTTTATATTCAATTTAATCAAGAATTTCATTCATGGTCAGAAGGAGAAATTGTTGTCAATACTGTAAGTGAAAATAAATATATTGAATTTCTATAAAGAAATATGCACTTTGACAAGAAAAATTTTGTTCCATAAAAGAGTTAATAAATCTATCATTTATACGTGAGCTTCTCTTATGAAACTTAAATTGCCAATAGATAATTCTAAAAACTATTATTTTCAACAATTATTACCAATACCAAATATCCAATTAGTTATAATTAATTATCCATTAATGGAATGTATTTTTATAAGTGTCGATTAATCGTAGGTGGGTTCGTTACTTGGACTCCAGTCAGGTGAACTAAAAGAGATACGCGTGGGTCGAGCAGAAGTAACTTTTAAAGTACCAAAAAATAGCAAAAACTACAATTCTACCGATATTGTTAATAAAATTAGTAAGTATAGAAAATTGTCAAAATATGTTCATCGAGCTATTAAAGGAAAATTACAAAGGTTAACTGCGTGACTATTCACACATTCACTAATACAAGGATACAATTATATACGACTACCCGTTAAAATAATTAACTCGTCAACAATATTATTATTATTCATTATTAGTCTTTCGATATGACAATATTTTTCATTTTTCGTTTTTATGCCGATTAAAAAAAAAAAAATTTCCTAATAAATTAGTTTATAAACTTAATCAAACTATAATAGTACCTTCAAAGTACTAGGCAATTTTTTTGTTTTTTGTTTTTTTTTTTGTTTTTTTTTTTGTTAATATATAACTTAATCGGCAATGAATAATGAGCTTATTTATAGCAATGGAAATTTCATTATAACAAGTGTTATTTAAAAATCTTATTTCAAACAGATGGCATACGTAACGATTTGCAAGATCAACTCAATATCCAAGTGATACGCGCTGGTATTGGTGACAAGGTAAAATATTAACTTGATGTATTGAATTAATCATAAAAATTTTGAGACTTAAATGGTATTTAGAACATGTAATTACTTTTCTACAATTGAATTAGTTTATAATATTCTTATTGGTTATGTTTTAAAGAGAAATATAATCCGGGAATGATTAATTTATGTATGATTTATAAATTAATAATATATATGCTATTACACTCACTATTCAATATTCAATGTTCAATCTATGTATATTTTTTAAATAAATCTATAAAATTATGTTTTTCGCTATCTACGTCTCGTTGCCAATAATAAAAATTCAACTTGTATTAATTTACTGATAGACAATGAAAATGTAATAGTACTATTATCAACGTAGTAGAGCATTTTTGTTAAGCCACTGATCATCTGTAACATAATAAATACATGATACTCATGAAAAAAGTCAATCATAAAAAGAGTCGTTTTCATTTTTATGCTGATCAACTTCATCGTCCTTAGATAAATTTCATAAGCACAACGAACAAAAAGCACGAATCATTCACTAATCCCGACTCGCTCAGCAGACCTCTCCTTTCCGCCCCCTCGCTCCGGTCGCCACTTCTCGGCTTCGCCCCTATCATGACGCGTGTCCAAATGGCGCAGGTGAAGCTGCCAGCGATCCTCGAGGTCTCCAGCATCTCGGAAATGAGCTCCAACATGTTTGGGGCGTTGGTAGCCGCAGGTGTGGCGGCGGTGAGCGCCGCTGCGATCGTAATCCTCGTAATAGCGCGCCGACACGCGAAATCCCGGGCAAAGCTAGCGGCTCTCCGCACCCCGGACCCCGAGGCCTCCAAGGACTACCAGGAGCTCTGCAGGGCGCGCATGCATGCCAAGCAGTCGGACAAGCTATCGGAATCGCCCAAAGGCTTTGATTTCGGTCGGCTCATCGAGTCCGGCAAAAGCGAGTCCAAGAGGTCGAGTACGTCCTCATGGGGCGAGGAGCCCCAGCCGAGCAGCATGGACATATCAACTGGACACATTGTTCTCGTAAATTTATCACCTTTTTCATTCGCATCACTGGAAAGTATCTCTACCAAAACTGCTTCTCTTGTTTCATTTATTTGCTTACGCTTGTCGAGCACTTATCGTGATTTACAGTGATTTTATAACGGAAGGATTCCATCGATATACTTGCACCTTTCACAATATTATAATGACGATAAAGTATAAGAACTCTGTTTTAACTGTTTGTTTCTTTTTTTTATTTGTTTAACTGTTTGTTGTTTATGAACAATAATATTACTTAACGAGCGATTAATATTATATTTGTTTGAAAGCCAATTAATGAATGCTTGGCTGACTTTCTCATAATACTCGCGTGGTCATTAGCTTATTATGTTTATAATATTTAACAAACGATATGTTCGCATAATTCGTTCATAATAAAGTCTAAATTCGGGAATATAGATAGCAGAGATTCTTGAAATTTAATTACCATATATCAATTATAGTATCTTTTGTAGAACAAATAGTTCTACTTAATTTTCATTCAAAAGTTATTAATCCAGAATTTCAAATTTCTTTTAATCATTTTGTCTGAAATGATGTAATACCGTAAGTTTCGCAGCCGTAGGATAAAAGAATGTTCAAACGCGCTTTGTAAATTTACATTATTATCACTCGCACACGTAAAGAAGATAATTTTGTTAAGAATGTCAATAAAACAACTGCTTACTATTATAACAGATTACTTTTTATCCTTATATTATAATTTAATTAAATGCCATTGCTTTACATTATTCACATAGTAAAATTAATCTTTCGATAAACTTGAGCGATATTTGTATTTTCCTCGCAATAAATACCAAGCCTATAAGCATACAAATTTATGGTTATTTATTTATTCGATACGAATCGGGTAGATTATATAGCTTTTGTGCGCGTTGAATCTTCGTTCGATCTATAGTTTAATCATTAAAGTAACTTGTTTTTAGTCATACATGGAGGATCATTTGAAGAATCAAGAGAAGCTTGATGAAGAATGGGCAGCACTTTGTGCTTATGAAGCCGAGCCGTGTTCAACAACCATTGCAGAAGCAGAAGTTAATAGAGAGTGTAATCGATCCGACGCTCTACTTCCTTACGACCATGCCAGAGTCATTCTCAATGACTTGGCTAACATCAATAATTCAGATTACATTAATGCCTCGACAATTGTGAGTACTTCCTCTCTAATTTATTCCCATTTATTTATTCATAATTAATCTATTTATTATATATCTAATTTATTATATTTATAATATATTTTTCTTATGATGTACTTTTAAACTGAAGAAAACCGTGCAAGCGTTTTCATTTGTACGATTTTCACTCTATTCTTTCTTTAATTTCTTATTGCTTATGAGTATTGAATCTTTCTATACAATCCGATTATTACATATAGAATATTTTACAAGTACATAAAGTAAAGTACTACAATAAATATTTGAAATTATTATTTTTCAAAATTATTTTACAACATTGTTATAACATTTAATAACACTTAATTCATAAAAACATGTGAATCGCACTTTAAGAGTTATAATTGTATTTTGAGCCATTATATAAATAAATTTTACGCTGTATATTCAATTTTGAGATTTCATTAATATTTTTCATTTATCATTGTTGTAATTTTTATAAAATTATAAATTTATTTAACACGTACGATTGTAATATATATTGGAATATATATATATATATATAATATTATATTATTACAATTTGTTATTATTATTATTATAATAAATAATAATATATATAATAATAATGAAATACACATTGTAATATATATTCTACCAATTTACAAATAATATGAGATCCTGAAAATTTAGTGCTTATTCAATCAATTTATAGAATTTGCACTTTTCAATCTGATCGGGTGATACTAATATTTTTGTACCTTTTTGCAAGATATCTCTAATTGAATTGAGTTTTTTCTTTCTTTTCAATATAAAACCGACAAAATATAATAAATATTTATATACTTAATTATATCATTTTACCATTACAGTGATACAGTCGTTAACTATATATGTAATTCGTACCTAATTAAATTCGTGCGCACTTATGATTTGTTAATATTAATGATTTTCATGTTAATTTAAAGCATATGGATGCTATATGACTTTATTGTGAAAATGCTTTGAAAAAAACTTTAAACAATAAATACAAAAACTTTAAATAATTTTAAACCATTGAATACTAGTAATATAATAACAATTAAGAAAACAATAAACTATTATTTATAAATGAAAAAAATTAATTATAAGTTAAAATGCACTTTTTGTTAACGTACTATGACTATGTACTTGATAATATTTAAATTTATAAGAAATCCTATTTTAAACTTTGAACATCATTTATCTTCTAATTATTTGCTTTAATATGAATTTTAATGCTATAGGGCATTTGCATATAACTAGATTTCGTGAATGAATAGAGTTTTGACTGTGTATGGATATATGAATTAATTTAATTATTATTTCAAAAGAAATTGGATGCTTGTATTAAGTTGTAGAACAAATATAAAAAAAAATAACCGTTGTTTTATATTTTATAAGGTTCAGAAATTCAGAAAAATTAAATTTTGTACGGAAAGTAAAATTTTGCATTTTTCAATCTAAGAATTGATAAATGTATAGTTATAATTCGTTAGATAACCAAAATAATTATTAACTGAAAACTCATGATTATTATTCACTGTCTTATTATTTTATTCTTTAAAATATTGCATACTTCTCTGCAATGAATTTCGATTTAGTCAATGTTCGTTGTTAGTCGATTTAATAGAATTTAAATATTATTTATATTATATATAATAAAATATTATTTCAATTAAATAGTTTCAACATTTTAATAATAGCCATTGATAAATACTGATTAGAAATTGTTACTCTTAAGTCTTTTTCAACATCTTTGCATAATATTGCTAACAATAATACGATAAATAATAATTCATTATTTATTATTATATTATTATAAAATAATATTATGCAATAAATTTAATAAATAATAAATAATTTGTATTCAATTGATAATTTTGATTAAACTAGAAGCGATAATATAATTATTAATGACTAAGCATTACTACGCTTGAAAAGTGTTCGAATTTATTTTTATGAACTTTATTTTTATTGTTATTCTCTCTGCTCAGAATAGTCAGTAAAACTAAAAAGACACTATAATATTAAATTCATAAATGCAAAAAAAAAAGTTAGGCTTGAACAAAACAACGCATGAAGCATTAAAAGTTTGAGAGAAATATATTTTAGTTTTTATAAATAGAAAAATAATCGAAATTATTAAAAGGATAAGCTACCAAAAAATTACAAACTTGCATACTATTTATACATAGTATATTGGTATTTGAATACTATCATTAATACTTTTTTAATTGTTCATTCATTTACACTTTGAGAATTTAATTACTTAAATAAATACTAGTTCTTTATCGCTATAAAGTTTAAGAAAATTCTATTGTCATATTTAAATATAGTTTTATTTCAATATAATTTTTAAAAGTCTAGAAGATTTCTTAGGTAAGTCAATGGTTAATTTTACTTGAACCAAATTATAATGTCCATTAACATATATTTTTTCAGTTTATGAAGTTCTATGTATATAAGTTCCATATATTTTATCATTAAAATGGAAAGTAAAAATGAATAGTACTTAAATATTCATGAGAAAGCGAGTTTTTAAATTTCATTGGATTTTTTCAAAGCAGTATATTTCATAGCTTGAAGTATGAAATCTATAAATGGCTCAATTGATAATAAAAAATTATGTGGCGTTCGTATTCTTTCTATTACAAATATAAACATATTTTTGACTAAATTGATTAACTTAAAAAAATTCAAGAATCTATAAAACAGGTGATCCTTTTAATCGGATCCTTATTATTAGGTTATCCATTGCATAACGTATAAAATCGTGCATTTTTCTTAAACAATTTATTAATTGCAAAATTTTTAAACTAATTTTTCGTTTTTACCATTACCCAGAATTGAGCATTTTGAAGAATCATTTATATAATGATCAATCATTATCAAGCATTACTTTCACTTTATCTACTTATGAACTTGAAAATGAAATAAATTATAATATTTGTCTCATTAGTGTAATAATTTATGTAATTAGTTATATTAATTATATTAATATATTAGTTATAGTAATTAGTTGTATATGTATAAAATATATATATATATATATATATATATATATATAATCCATATATGCATACATGCGTGCGTCTATGCACATAATGTAAATATTAAAATGCAAACAATTATCTTATATACATAAATTATTATATACACATTATATACATATATACACGTGCATGCGCTTGCACACCTGTGTAAACATATGCTGAAATATGCATTTAATTAATTACAAAGTTGTTTGCATATAATTAATATGTTTGTGAATATAAATAGACATATATAAATTTTGCAAATTTTTTAAAAATAATTTAGATAAAAAGGGTAATTGTATTCTTACCGATTTTTTTTCAAATTCGGTTGAAAATTTATATTATTTGCATAAATTTATAACAAAGATTATACGTATTGCCTTTGAGATTTCAATTTTTTTTTTTATTAATAAAGTCAATCTACATTTCCAATAATTATAAATGCACGTATGTATATATAGAATATATGCACATCTATAGAATGTATATATAGAATATATATATATATATATATATATATATATATCTTGTAGAATATGCTCGTTCAAATTCATGTTGATTTTAAATAAACGGTTTGTTTTCTTAACTCGTTTATATGCTTTTTCCCTATAAAAAAAAAAAAAAAAAAAAAAAATCTGAATTGAAACATTTCACTTCTTTATTTGATGTGAAATTATTCATACGTACTTTACAATCATCATTTAGAAACTATTTTTACTTTTAAGTGACAGCTTCGTGACGTACATATTTCTATTTTAATGATCTAAATAATTTGCATCAACTTAATAAAATAATACGAAGTTAAAGAATACGTGTCGCGTAACAAATATCACGATTGCGCATATAAAGCAATATTTAATCGAGAATAGAGATATACGAATTGGTAAGCCTATATACCTTATGAACCAAATTTAAAGATCGATTAATATTACTTAAGCACTCCGGCCATTACAACTCAGGATTATACGCGGCTGATCCTGCACAAAGAGAAAAAAGCAAGTTTATTTTGGCCCACAGACTGACCACGACCCGCGCAATCCGGCTTACATAGCGACTCAGGGACCACTGCCTCGGACGACTGCGGACTTCTGGCAGCTCGCGTGGGAGCAGGGCAGCGTCGTCATTATAATGCTAAATCGCCTGACCGAGGTGGGTCAAGCCACGTGTCATCGCTACTGGCCCGACGAGGGCTCCGAACTCTACCACATCTTCGAGGTCCACCTCGTCTCGGAGCACATCTGGTGCGATGACTACCTCGTGCGCTCGTTCTACTTGAAGAATCTGCGTACCACTGAGACGCGTACGGTCACGCAGTTCCACTTCCTCTCTTGGCCACAGGACGGCGTACCCCAGTCTACCAAGGCCCTGCTCGAGTTCCGTAGGAAAGTCAACAAATCCTACAGGGGCAGGTCCTGCCCAATTATCGTTCACTGCAGGTAACTTTTGGCAATCGGAAAGCGGATGCGCGCGATTTTAAGGGACATTTTAAGTCTTCTATTCGACTCTCGTCGAAGTCTGACGCTTGTCGGTCTACGCGACTCCTCGAAAGCTCAAGCAAGAGCTCGTTTAAAGCAATGAACGATATATTTGCCGTAGCGATGGGGCTGGTCGAACGGGCACCTACTGCTTGATCGACATGGTGCTCAACCGCATGACCAAAGGTGCCAAGGAAATAGACATCGCCGCTACTCTGGAACACATACGTGATCAACGGGCCGGTATGGTGGCTACGAAGCAGCAGTACGAGTTCGTTCTGATGGCGGTTGCCGATGAGGTCCACGGTATTCTCAAGTCATTACCGATTGTCGATGAGAAATCGGGCGAGAAGTCGAGCGCTGCAAGCCAATCCTCCACCTCGCCAGCTAAATAAGCCCCGATGGCTCTCGATTATTTACAAAGATGTACATGGTGAGCAGCGATCCGAATCAAGTCTATGTGTAATAATTCTACTGACTTTAAGTTTTCGAAATTATTGGCCATTGATTTATTGATACTTGAAAATTTTACGTCCTACAATAAATAGTCCATCTTCGATATTTCCTTTCATTAGGTTATTTGGTTTTTACATGTCCCACAGTACGAATAGCATTAATTTAGTTTTTTATTTCTATTTTATGGGGACTCTTGTGTGCCGAAACCGTACACAAATCACTCGCGTATTACGTAAAAGAAAAACGAAGAAAACAATGTTGACGAGGCCGTAATTTCTTTCAAATGCATATCACAATTCGTAAATATCTTGCACAATTCGTAATTTTCAATAGTCTTCGTGAAATCAGAATGGATTTTAATTTATCGGCCTATACATCGGCTCATGAAAATCGTAAGTATTAAATAATTGGCAAATGTTATGTAATGTCATTGGCGAGGCTTTTTGAAAATGTTTAATTCTCTTTCCTTCATCATTTAATAATGACATCGCTGATACTTTGAGAAAAAGTAGACTCGTAATGCGCATTTCTTACTTGCTCTGGATAAAAATAAAGATACGGTGATTCATTGCTTTGTCATAGAAGTTGATCCAGTATCCTCAGGATTTTCATGGTCGGGCTGCACAATTTCTAGGCTAAATGTTATGTACTACTTGGTGCAATTATTAAAAATGTAAGGGCTCAATGATACGGGATCCTCGCGCATTTTACTTTCTCGATGAAGGACTACCTAATATATACTAAATGTACCATCTACTAATGTATGAAAGTATACTAAAAGTACTACTATAAGTCCTTGATAAATATTTTACTATATGGTGTATAACAATGTCAAAGGTATATGATAGGATAAAATGTTTATGGCTCAATGTATATATCCTAAGGTAGGACCATGACAAAACTACAATGGAATTTTTAATTTTATTAAAAATACAATTTTCTAAGTTAATTTAATGTTATATTCTTCAATGATATTTTCATAATTATGTATTTGTTACTTATGTGCTATGTATAAATGTCACGTATGACAAATTGAATTCAGATTATAATTGAATTTACATATTTTATACGAATTAAAAAATTCAAGTTCATGCTCATATGCATTGTGACTGCATTTAGCTTTACATATTGTTTTTATATATTAAACAAAGTTAAGACGATAATTTTCAAATTGACAAAAATAGTACATTTTTGCGATTTATAGTTCTTAATATTACATTTTATCAGATGCACCTCATTAACATGTCTGACTGATGTAATTCATTATTATGTAAGTAAAGAAGAAGAAAAAAAAAGGAATCATAATCGTAAAAGACTTAATCAAATCAGGATATATAATTATATGTAAGATGACAGAAAATAATATCAGCCTTGTGGTGCCAGCCTTCCACTTGGTTGGGTTGCTTTTTATGTGAAGGTATATTATGCATTATTATGCAGTACGATGGAGTGCGACTGATTCTGAACAGAAACTAATTTAAAATTTTTTCATTTTACAAATATTTGTAACAAACTGCACTAAAATACTTTTCTAATACGTAGTTTACTTCTAAAGTAAAATTTCATAATAATTATAAAACAGCAAGAGTTTACAAAATTTAAGCAAGTTTTAATTTAATTTCTTAAAAAAAAAAAAAAAAAAAAAAACTAACTATAATATTAATGTCTGAGTAATCATTTTTAATATTTTTTTTTGTTCTGATAATTTTGTGATTACTCAAATTTTTTATTAATTACGTGTTTTAGTCAGTGATCAGTATCAGTGATGAAACTTAACTAATTCTAATTATTCTTATAAGAGAAACTGGTCTTAAACTAAATGAGTTTGCTTAGCTACTTTTAACATCGACTTGCGAGATTCTATATTTTTGTGTAAATCAAAAATGATATATCTATATAAAAAGAAAACTATATACTATGTTACTGAAGAGTATAATATATGTTGTAAAAGAATAAATCAATCTATGTTCAAAATTGTAGTCTTTTAATATAATACAAACAATACTTTTATTAATATAAAAATATATCCATATTTTACATTGTTTTTTTTTTTTTATTTTTATAAATAACACATTATATAAACATTTACTAATTATAAGTGTACTTTTTTTTATATATAAAAATTTTACAATATGCCAGTAATTTTTATACATTCTATATTATAAATATAAATTTTTTTTTATGTGTAAGTTATACCTACATAATATAATTAATGTTTATAAAAATGAAGCGTTTGTGTCCTCAAAAACAGGATTCCAGAAACCTACAAATGCAAATTATTAATTAGTCGATAAGATATTGATAAACGTCATTACCCGTTAGACTTACTTTCTGGTGTTAAAATATCGGCTTTATATCTTCCTCTATGTTTAGAACATTCATTTTTTCGTTTTTGTTTTTCTTCCATAGATAGATGAGAATACCACTGTAAAATTACTATTCGTTAGTTTTTAAATAATTGCAATAATTAAATTAAAATTAGGTGTAAATTTTAAATTAAAATTGTTATTAATTTTACAATATTAAAAAATATTTCTTAGTTTTTTCATATATTTTTTTAATATGCACCTTCTCACAATCTCTACAGCACCACCCTGGTAATTCAGCTTTTTCAAGTTTATTTCTTACAGGTCCTTCTTTATAAGCGTGATCTGGACTTTCTCTTTTCCTACCAGGTATTCTGAAAATATATTAATTATAATTGATTATAATCATTATTGGTACTGAAGTATGTACACTATAAATAATAAATAAAAATACTCACGTATCAAAACTATTTAATAACATTTTTTTTGCCGGTGGAGTATCATATTTCATTTCATCTTCAAATTTAGTTGAATTTATGTTGTATAAAGTTACAGCATTTGTCTTTACAGTTCTTTCAACTGGAGAAAAGTAAGTTTCATCGTGGCAAGTCTTTTGATGTTCTAATTGTTTATGTTTATGTTTTTTGCTGACAATATAACTATTCCGTCGATTACGTTGTTTGAATTCAGGTGATTTTGTTACAATTTTAGTACCGTCACAACTGTTCTCACAAGTAAAATTATCTTTGGTATTATTTTCTAAATTTAAGCCTTTCGTAGTATTTTGTACATTTAATGTTTTCAATTTTGTTCTATTAACATTAGGTCTTTTATTTAGATTAAGTTTAGTTCTTAATTTTGAATTTTCATTTTGAATAGGACTTGTTTCTATTAATTCGTCATCCTTCAATGATTTATTTATGATATTTTGACTATCTGTAAGTGCAAACTTATTTATTTCAACTGATGCACTTTTTAATGCGGAACACTCCTGTTTACTAGGCAATGCATCATGTACTTTATTTTTACTATTCTCTTCATTATCTGTTTTTATATTTTCATAACTAAATTCACAATTAAAAAAAGTTTCATTATCTGTATTTTCTTTTCTATATTGACTTTTATTTTCACTCTTAATATTTTCAATAGATCCACACTTACTAACATCGATAATTGGGGCAACTTTTCTTAGTGTTAATTTGGTTTGTCGAAATTTTTTACCTTTATCAAGAAATTCGCTCTTTCCATAATTATTTTTTGAAACACTTATAATTTGGTAACCTTGATTCTTATTTTGAATATCTTCTGCTGGTATTTGCACTATATTTTCTATTGATTTAAAATTTTTTTTGGTATTTTTCTGTTCACATCCCTTGTGAAATTCATTTCCAGTTTCAATAATATTTTTTTCTATTAAAGCAGATGATGGACTTATTAAACTCACTTTACTTTCACTAGAGCTTGTAATACGCCCTGCACTATTTGATGATAAATCAGTTTTCTTTGAGGTAGTCTTTTTACGCCTACATAGAATGGGACTACTTTGCACTTGTACTAAGCTAGATTTAACCAGCGCTAGTGGGGGAGAATTCTGCTTTTGAAAATCTTCATCAGATAAAAAATCAGATGAAAATATTGGTACAAATGTATTAATATTTTCTTTTTCTCTATTAATGCTTTTATTGCAAATTTTATTATTTATTTGTTCACCAGGATCTGGGATTTTATTTGTAATTTTAAGGTTACAATTTGAATTAGATTCTAATATTTGTGAAAACTGATAATTACTGTTTAGAGAACTAAAACACAATATATAAGAAACTTTTCATTTTATATACAAATACAAAATTAACTATTTTAAAGAAAATAAAAATTTTCTCTCAGGTATAGTAAATATAACTGACAAGGAAATTAAAGTTAAAACATTTTTATATTCAAACAAAAATTATATAAATATTATTCATGATCAAATTAGGTTATAATTAATAACTTACATTTTTTGATGATTAGATTCATTTTTGTTGATAATCTGTTTAAGTTTTTCATTTATTATGGACAATTCAATATTATCTGCTAATAATTCTGCAAGTACAAATTTGTCTTATAAAATAAAATTAAACAAAAATTATTATGATATTTAGATATTTAGTAATTAAGAACACGTGTACATATTTATTAAAAGTCGATTTTATTATCAGCCATTATAAGATATTTAATTTGTTAATATGTACAAATTGATGCCATTGACACGAATTAAAAAATTTGTAATTTGACAAATTTTCCAATTTTTATATCCGCATGGAATGCAAGTAATAAAATAATTTTGTGTGTACTAATATTTATGGAAAATTGGGCAAATTGTGCAACAATTAAAATAGCGATAGTTATTGAATAACTTACTCTGATGCTTGTGAAATATATGTTGCAGAGAATGTAAAAAATTTTCCAATATGTATTTAGCTTTTTCATGACGTTCAAAATATTTAGTTTTCAATTCTTCGTTTAATTCCAACACAAATTTGAGGTTGGGTTCAAAAGAATTTGAACACCAATCCATTTTTTTACGTTATAAATTCGCTGTCGAATGAAAAAGCATAACTGTCTTAAATAAATATAGCAATAGATATTATCAGTCCTATACAATTAATCTTTTTATGAAAAGAAAGATTCATATTTTTAAACCCAGCGAATCCATAACACAACCTATTGTTGCTTTGATTAAACAGATATTGCTATTTATTATATCTATTTCTCTCTTTCCATCGTCACATGATCATCTTCGCGTTATTTCATTCGTTATATTTGGAGTCAGATCAATGTTACCAATCACATCTCTTCTCTTTATAAAGTTCGACTTTGTCGTTGTCAGCAATGATTTCACGTGTTTTCACCATTCTAACCTCTTGCATCTTTTTTTAATAACACATCTCCAAATCAATCTGGAAATTTATTGCAAAAGATAAGTAAAAAACGTAAAATTGATTACTTAATGTAGTCATACTAATTTGTATCGATTTACAATAAAAATAGAATTATAGATATTAACAAGTTGAAAAAAAAATTTACTTTACAAAATATTGTAATCTTTTGCTACATAGTAAATCTATGATTTTTATTATAAAGTTAGGATACTTTGATTTATCATTATAAGTTTTATTCTATTCTACAAATATATACAATATATTTTCTATTAATTCCTAAATTCTTTTTAATACAACATTATATTAGTGATAAAAAACCTGATTGGAAATTATATATTTCAGTCTATTTATTTATTAACATGGATTTTTTATGATATTTACATTACATTCCATAAATACATTTACAGCAAAAATACCGTAAAAATTTGTTAGACACCTAATTAGACAAATAAATACGCAAAATATAGATGTAGAACTTATTTTCAATACAAATTGATTGATTTGACTATAAACAAGTAACTTCGTGTGCACGCTTATGCCATATGTAGATCTAAATAGCAAAATTAATATACACAAGTATAGCTTATTATTTTATTATGTGTAGATTTATATTTAATTCTTCCAATTCACTTAATAACGAATCAAGAATGAATTATAAAGCTTGTAATAGATGAGCATAATAATGAAATTATTTCATTAAAATTACAAATACAATCATGTCATATGAGGCTAAAAATGGCATATTCTTAATCATTTAAAACTATTTTTAAATTATTGACAAAATATTTGCAAATGACTTATTCTTTTACACAATGGGTCACAAGTTGTACAATATGTACAAAAAAAAAAATATTTAGGAGCTATACGCAGATTGAGAGGATGTCGAGGGCAGGAAAATATTATTCTGCAGGCTAGCGACCAGTTTACCTGGCGGTCTATTGACGGTAACAGGGAGAGAATTGTATGACTCCATGCCATAACGTGACATTAGTGCAGAAAGAGCTGTTCTAACACCGATCGTGGCCAGCTGGGACCATCTTCCAGAACTTACTGCATCATCACCTGCGTATACAGCATGTGCATCAAAGTTACCTTTTTGACCTGTATTTGCAGCTGGAAAAGGTGCATCTACAAAATTATTATTTCATAATAGTTTGTATAAAAACTAATTGATACTAACCTAGCATCGGTGGATTAAGGACTGGTTGATGTGGATCGAACAATCCACTTTGTCTTGAATTAGTCGCTAAGCGAAGTTCAGTTTGTAACTCTGCTAATAATTGGGCAGCTTTTGGATCAGTCTGTTTTATAAATAATTACATAATTGTCAATTAATGAAATGTATGAACTGACATGGACAGTTAGAGAGAAATATAAACAAAGATAAACATTATAATTATACGAGGCAAGGATAATGAAATTAGTTAAGATAGCTTATTATTATATATGTAAATTAAATATATAATTTCCTATTCAAATATACTCATGAGGATGATAAATTGCACTAATTTTATTATTATTCTATTAAATTAATTATAATTTCGATTGACTTATTATTTATTACTCTACTAATTGCAACGATGGGAGAATATATTGTAATGTGTAAACATGTATACTCTTGTTATTTTTAATAAACTTGTCGATAATGAAACTTTTACCTCATTATCCGTTCTGAGAGACATAAGATCATCTACGCTGATTGGCTTTCCTTGATTTAAAGCACTAGTAAGATTACTCAGTTTACGAGCTAGAGTATCTTCATTAATGTACTCTGCAAAGTGGGATACTTCTCTTGGATTAGATCTCGCTTTTATCAATGGGGGACTATGATAACCATAAGGAGAAGTACTAAATGGACCACCTTGACCAAATATACCATCGCTACCCAAGTGTGGTTCAGAATTATACCTATGGGAGTTGTAGCCTGCCTCCATTTTCAATCTCTTAGATGATCTGAAATAAGTAACATACATAATTGATTGTAATTTATGATCTAAAAAACATCAAAATCATGAAACATTTTAATTAATAGGTTATTTTAATTTTGTTTTAAATAGTATTATTCACTACTAATAAATGTGACATAATGGTTTAAATTTAAAAGATTTCAGATCTATTGAAAATCTCAACTTATAAATATTTGTTAAATTCGTGATACTTCATATTTGAGAAATTTTACAATGTAATTTATATTAAAAATTTTACGTCGTAACATTTTCATGATTTTGTATTTAATTGTATTAAATTTATTTTAAAATTTCACTGGAGACACACAGGGAACCATAATGACATCACATGATAATGTATAAATAGCTAATGAAAGTTCAATGAATGATTCTAGCAAGAAAAGCATGTTATTATTTGTTTAGTAGGAATAAATTAAATGAATGGTTATCTTGACTTTGAAGCTCAAATATGAACACTTTGTTACAAACGTGAATTTAGAAAGTATAGGTAATTGGAAATTTTTGATTACCTACATACACTCTAAATGTGCTATAAAATTGTTCCTCTATCACATTTGGCCATTAAAATTTACTTCCTGAAACACAATTTTTTTTTACTTTGTTAGCTATTTAAATAATTTTGATATAATCATTTTTAACATCTTTAATTGACGATTTTTAATTCCACATAAATACATTTGGTGATATATTTAAAATAAGAATTTTGAATGTATTACATATAAATAATTTATAAAATTTTAGGGAAATTATTTTGTAAAAAAAAATGATGAAAATTATTAAATATGACATTCACTTTCGTTTCGACCGGACCGTTTTCTCTGCGTACGTATAGTTATAATATATACGCGTAAATATATATTTTAACGACTAGGGGCAGTAAGTAGTAATTATTTTCTACAAATATCAATTTTAATGAATCTTACCATTTGCTTCAAATATCTTGTTAGGATAAAAATTATAAAAACAGTATATAAAATTAAACTTATTTTTACATTTCTTTTTAACTAATGTAATTTTCATCATTTTTTTTTTTTTTGTTTTTTTTTTTTTTGTTTTGTTTAAAGAAAAATAAACGAAAAAGAAAATTGAAACAAAATCGAATGTTTATTAATAAAATCAGTTTTAAAATTGTACATGAAGAATATTTAACTAAATTATTTAATCGCATATATGACTCAAAAACTTTCACAGCATTGATGTGGAATCACATAATCGTAAATAAGGATTTCATGTGAGTCTTAGAATTTGTTTTTCGATTTTTGTAAAACATCAAGGTATGTCAATAAAAAATGTTTTGTTTACAAAAGCTCTTTTTTTTGTTTTGTTTCTTATTCACATGTTCCCAGTGTGTACTCAATCCTGCTACTTCATCTATCCAATATTATCTGTGAAAATCCACATTAATAAGGTATCCTTTGTATTTAATGTACTAGGATTACGATAAAGAGAGTAACATTATTTCATTACTTCGATATTAGGAAATATGTTTATCATACACACAGTATAAAAAGTGTTGACTCAAAGCAGCCATTCTTTATATTACAGTTCATTATTGTTATCATTATCATATAATCTTAGGTAATAATGTATATATATATATATATTTAGTTTTGCTTCATGAATTCCGTTCAATTAAAACTGAATAATATTAAGAGTAGACTTTAAGGCTAACGAATATTTAAAATAACCTTGCACTTAAAATTAATTTTAAATGAAATCCATAATTATTTTTTAATATACAAAATTAACGAGCTAAAGTAGCTGGTTGATCAAAGGAAAGCGATTAAGCCAAGCCTAATTCATAGAAACAGTTGAAATTCTTATGGATAATATAAATAGCATTAGGTTATTGACGCATATAACATAATGCCTTATGAACATATAACAATTTTCTTCATTTCCATATTGTCGATATTCCTTGTAGTTTGCGTTGTTGATGATGCTATACAGCTACTACTCCATTATATCCATACACTTTATTTACAGATAAGGTTTTCCTTACATATTCTCGTAGACCTGTACGTTGGTATTATTACATCATTATATATTTTTTTTTATAGTTTTCTCAAATAATTTCATATAAATTGTAGAATCTATGAATGTTTAAAATATTTATTTAAAAGAAAGTAAGATTGGCTTAAAAATATCTATCACATATAGTTGATAAACATTTTTGAATTGAAAACTTTTAAAATTTCTTTTTTCATTTTTTCTTTTACAATTCACGACATTCTAGAATATATTTGTTACAATACTATTGCATTTCTTTGGCGCAATATGCTTTTATAAGAAATTTAATTTTTATGAACAATAAAAAATATAACAAATGTTGCTTTTAATTTACAACCACGTGTATACGTGAATGTACATTCTTCAATGCCTTGCTGGAATTTTAACTGATTGTTCAATCAGCCATCTACTACTACTCACCCTCCGACGTCGGATAGGTCCTCAATAGCTTTTTGTATTCCACCTCTATTCGGCACTGACAGGAGAGGAATTCTGCCTTGTGAGCTCTCTTGTTGTTCCCTTAATTGACGTCTTCTCTTTTTACTCCACAACTCATGACAATCTTGCCACGTGGGCAGTTGTGGTGACGGCATTCTAGCGTAAAAAATAAATAATTAATATATTGGAAAAAACGTAGATTAGTCTTAAATAATAAAAATATATAATAAAAAAAAAAAAAAAAAAAAAAAAAAAAAAAGAAAATTGCAATAATTAAGTAAAACCATTTAGCAATATTTAATGAAGACAAAAGTACGATGTTTTTCATACAGAATATAAATGTTTAGAATGTAAAAATATGTGAAATTCTAAATACTCTTTGTCTTTTTAAATTAAACGAAAGCACATACTGTTCTGGTTGAACGTTTTTGAGCCAAGGACTTTTTAAAGCATCAGCAGCCGTTATACGCTTTTCCGGATCTAATTCTAACATTTTATCTAACAAATCTAGAGCTGTTGGTGGCATAAATTGAAAATCTTCTCGAAGTCGTCGCCTGTACGTCTTTTTAGGTTTTAATGTATGCCATAGTGGCAATTTTATCACAGATGGCCATACTGCGGGTGTTGGTGTCCCACAAACTTTTGAAATGATATCTAACTGCATCATTTCAACATTTGCCTAATAAAAAAATGCGAAAAATCGGTATTATATCAAGCTACTTTGATAATATTATTTCAAGTTTAAGAATTTAAAGCGTTACTTGGAAAAGTGGTTTTTTGGAGAAAAGCTCTCCCAAAATGCACCCACAGCTCCATACGTCAATAGCAGGCCCATAACGTTCCTCTCCCAGCAATAACTCCGGTGGCCTATACCACAAAGTAATTACTTTGTTAGTGTAAGGACGCTGCCTATCTTCGGCATTATAAAGTCTAGCCAAGCCAAAATCAGCTAATTTAACTTCGCCCCTAAGAATAAATATAAATAATTTGTATACGTAATGAAAATGGAGAAAGCAATGGGGAGCATAGTTTTAGCATTAATTGGTAGACGCACTTGTTATTCATAAGTATATTAGAACATTTAATATCTCGATGCAAGAAGTTTTTACTATGACAGTAATTTAATCCATCCAGTAATTGTTTCATAATGCTTGCGTTATTCATTTCGTTAAAATCAACCATTCCCGATTCTAGTAATCCCATGAGGTCGTGATCCATGTATTCGAAGACTAAATAAAACGAGCCTTTATCCTGGAAACGACAACGTAATTTTATTATGTTAATCGTTTAATATGATTATATTAACCGTTACGAATAGCCTCGATGATTTTACCTTTCGAAAATCAATGGCGTCTTGTTTATCCGTCACGATTTCCCTAAGATTGACGATGTTTTTGTGATTGAGCTGTCGTAATATCTTAATTTCTCTTACAGCCGTAATAGGAAAGCCATCTTTCTCATTCTCTAATCTAACTTTCTTAAGAGCGACTATTACGCCCGCTCGCTTGTCCTGTGCCTTATAAACCTGACCATAAGTACCTTCGCCAATTTGATCGATAACCTCGAAAACATCGACACATCGCTCTCCCCAATCTTTTCCGCCGGAAGCCGACATTGGCATGTGATTATTACGCGAGCCCCTTCTCTTCAATATTTTCGGTCTCTTTAACTTTGGCTTTGGAGGTATTCTTTCTACTCTACTTCGAGGAGGAGTGGCTGTCGTATCGTCTTCCCCGCTAAGATCTTCGGAGCCAGGCACAACTGTAATATAAACATTATATCATTGTTTAATCGTGCATTTTACTATTCACGATCTTATTAAATTTAACTGCAAGATTTTTGTAGTAATTAACTTAAAATTTTAATTATCGTATATTGGCTTTTACGGGATGTGATTAAATAGAAAAAAATTTTTTAATACGCAAGGTCTGGTAAGTTTAAAATAAGTTATGCATCGATGGAAAGTTTTACAAATTATTTTTCATATATTCAGAGAAAAGTATCCACAATTTGAAACACATCGACAGTATTAAATTCAAATTATGATGGAAAATATGAAGAGCTTAAAAGAGGGAACCGACTACTACTCACCTCTTTTTCTCTCTCACTTTTCCTCACAAATTGAGATCCGCAAAATCTTAAATATTAAATATTAAAAACAAAAACAGAACAAAAATGAATATTCACATATATACATACTGTATTTAATTTTTTTGGCCTTTAATGAATCTTTTAAAACACACTTTGGAAATTTAATTTATCCAAAAACGTTGAAATGAATTATTCCGTACGAGTATGGTAAAATTGGTAAGTTCCCTAAGTCGTTAGTTCGATAAGGGTAGCGAGTCAGACTATATATCTTTCGGTAACTTGTAATAATATTTCATTAACGTTAAGAGAGATTAAATTAAAACCTGGTGGCATGGGCAGATCCTTGATGCTCTTCCTCTGTAATCCTGGCTTTCCCATTGTGGGCGTCGTTGCGGTAAGAGCAACGGGCACAGAAGGTACAAGAATCTTCACTGCTGGCTTGGGAGTGGTGAGTATAGACATCGGACTTGGTGAGCGGCTCGGCGGTGAGTCTATGCTCTCGAGATCATTCTGATTGATGCCGGGGGGCAGTGGAAGCTTAGAAAGACTCTTGGTTTTGAAGGATACCAGCGGTGGTTTTGGCGGATCAACGGACTTAAGTGGTACGAGGTTATTAGGTGTGCTGAATTTGGCGATCGCTGGTGATACGGGGAAGGCAGATACGGATACGGATGACGGTGTCGGGACATTAGTCACGATGTGAGGATGTATGAGCGTGGAAACGGAGTTGTTGGTAGAAGGTGGAGCTGGCACAGGAAGAGGCACTAAAACAGGCACTTGTGATAGACCTGACGAAACAGACTTGATTTCGGGATGCTGCTGGAGATGATGATGATGCTGATGATGCTGATGATGATGCTGTTGTTGTTGTTGCGATTGTTGTTGTTGTTGTTGTTGTTGTTGTTGTTGTTGTTGTTGTTGTTGTTGTTGTTGTTGTTGTTGTTGTTGTTGTTGTTGTTGTTGTTGTTGTTGTTGTTGTTGTTGTTGTTGTTGTTGTTGTTGTTGTTGTTGTTGTTGTTGTTGTTGTTGTTGTTGTTGTTGTTGTTGTTGTTGTTGTTGTTGTTGTTGTTGTTGTTGTTGTTGTTGTTGTTGTTGTTGTTGTTGTTGTTGTTGTTGTTGTTGTTGTTGTTGTTGTTGTTGTTGTTGTTGTTGTTGTTGTTGTTGTTGTTGTTGTTGTTGTTGTTGTTGTTGTTGTTGTTGTTGTTGTTGTTGTTGTTGTTGTTGTTGTTGTTGTTGTTGTTGTTGTTGTTGTTGTTGTTGTTGTTGTTGTTGTTGTTGTTGTTGTTGTTGTTGTTGTTGTTGTTGTTGTTGTTGTTGTTGTTGTTGTTGTTGTTGTTGTTGTTGTTGTTGTTGTTGTTGTTGTTGTTGTTGTTGTTGTTGTTGTTGTTGTTGTTGTTGTTGTTGTTGTTGTTGTTGTTGTTGTTGTTGTTGTTGTTGTTGTTGTTGTTGTTGTTGTTGTTGTTGTTGTTGTTGTTGTTGTTGTTGTTGTTGTTGTTGTTGTTGTTGTTGTTGTTGTTGTTGTTGTTGTTGTTGTTGTTGTTGTTGTTGTTGTTGTTGTTGTTGTTGTTGTTGTTGTTGTTGCTGCTGCTGCTGCTGATGCTGCTGCTGATGCTGCTGCTGATGCTGCTGAGGCTCTAACTGCGACTGTAACGCTTGCGGCTGCATCTGTTGCTGCATTTGATGTTGTATCTGCTGCAATGGTTGCTGCTGTGGTATTTGCTGTATTGGAGGAGGTAGAGACTGCACACCTGTTGTAACAGTTATCAGACGTGTTCTTGTAATATCTCACCATCAAGGAAAGTGACTTTCAAATACGTATGGCGCAATGCTCATATGTGGATGATATTTCAATTATCCGCATTCGGAGTTAACATTTTTCTTGAGATTTTTTCACGTCTTGAATTAATAATGTCCCACAAGAATACCTATAAATTAATTAGCCCAGCATTTTTTTACTTGGAAATTCAACGATTTTATGAAGATGGAATTTTATTAGCATTGCTCTCGTCTACTTTAAAGAATGGATATAATATAAGGACTGAATGTTATTCAGTAAATGTTTAAAAAAAAAAACATAGAATTAATAAAAATTCGGAAGAAAAAAAAAGAAGAACAATTTACATGCTTAATCTTTTCTAATCCATATAAATTTACGTTTTTGTAAGGGAATATATGGTATTTAAACAAAAATGTTAAATTACACTGGGCCTATAAATATTAAAACATTCGTTTGATGATTTTAAAGCGAACCTCCACGATTCATTACAGTTGCAATCATTTTAGTCGGGTTATTTACGTGTCTCCATATATTTCAGGATTGCAGCTCATTCTTTTAAAATTAATATTTGAACAATTTTAATAATCATAAACTTCTCAGCACTTAAAAGTCACTTATAATTATAAATACTTTTCTGTGTTTGATAGTGTTTCGCTTGTGGTATTTTTCGAACACTGAATAATAGTAACAAAATAAAATTAAATAGTAAATGGTACAAATCGTCGTAACGGAACTATGTTAAGCTTGGCTCATAAAAACAAAGAAATGTTTTTTAAAACGCACTTAAATACTTATTTTCAAATTTCACATCCGTAAAAACCTAATTAAATAAAAATAGCCAATGCAAGCATAAAAAAATAATTAACAATCATTATCTTGCTTTTAAGAATTCTACCATAAGAATAAAGCCTCGCGCGTCGGCGACGGAGGCGAAGGTAAGAGGAGCCTTACCTGTGACCATAATCGTGGGATTGGTAACGACGCTAACGGGCGCATCGTTACCCAATGCCGGGGAATTATATACATGCACGGCTTGCGTGGGCATGGGGGCTCCCACGTGTATTGCCGCGTTTATCGTCGCGTCGCTCTTCTGCTGCTGGGGCACGCTCGAGATCGTCGGACCTGGCAGCGGCGGCGTCTTGCCGGCCGACGAGGTTTCATCGATGTAGGCGATTGGTGCCTGCAGTCCGGGTGCCGCCGTCGCCACTGTCGCCGCCGTCGTCGTCGTCACTGCTGACGCTGAACTGTAGACTATCGGAGCAGCTAAGCTTACGGGGACTGGGCCGTGCATCGGTGGCACCGGACTCGTCTCCACAGTCACCACTGGTACCAGGTTTGACTGTATGGGTAGCTGATTTTGTGGCTGAGGGACAATATTTTATGCATCGAACAATCGCTCCCAGTTTTGTAGGCTTAATTAATATCTTATGTTTAGGCTTGGTTAGTTGAAGGTATTATTATTGGGAAATAAGAAAGAAACGCATCACCGGGGGAAATGTTCTTCTTTTCTTTTTCTTTTTTTCTTTCTTTTTTAAGCTATTTCATTAGTAGTGGAAAAAGATGATCGCAGTCTTCGCTATATTTATCCAAATAATGCATGAACTTAAAGAAAAAGAAAGTTTATTCACTATCAGAATATTTCTATCTATATCGTTATAAATAATTATTGTATATTAGTAATAAATACTAAGATTTAATACAAATGTGTTTAATGTTTTTTTTTATTTATTATGTTTTAATCAGTCCATTCCAAATCAAAGAATTAATACAATTATTAGTATATAATAGTGAAATTGTGACAGATTATTTATTATGAATAAATTTTTTAAGTGTACGTGCTGATATTTTCTCAACATTATTTTAATATCTTTTGAAAGGAAATCCTACAGGTTAATCAACATCGTTTCAGCGTGTCTCATGCTTACATAAATATGCTCAAATCATCAAAAAATAATCATTACATTGGATTATAAGTATGACAAAGCAATATCTAGGTAAGTCGAATAATCCTTAGCGGATACGTGATATAGAATATGGCGAAATATAATTTACAAAAAATTTTTGCAGCGTACCAGATTCATCGGCATTGGGGCATTCGTCATCACGGGAACAGGTATGTCCAATACGTCGACGGTAAGATCCATACTGGGGCAGGGCGTCGTCGCGGCTGTCGACGACTTGTCATTCATCCTGTCGATGATAGTCGTAGTCGAAGACGAACCATTACTGTTGTCCTTCTCGTCAGAGCCCTCAATTATCTGGACCTCATCTTGATTTGCCTTCTCCTTCGCCGCCTGTAGCTTCTTGAACGCGAGTTCGCGCATGTTCCTGTCCTTGACCAACTCGGCAAACAGACTCGTCTCGCTGATCTTTGCTTGAACCTTGAGGTTGCGCTCGTAGATACTCGTCGGAGATTTGCGACTCGAGCGGTGCACCGGCGAAGGTATGCGCGAGATGCGCGGACTTTTTGAGCGATGCTTGCGCGAGGACTTGTGGAGTTTGCTGTTGGGTGAGCGCGATTTTTTGGGAGTGCGACTGCGCCGTCGCGAGCGCGACCGGGATCGAGAAGATTTTCGCCATCTGTGTGGGCTGCGCGAACGGGAGCGTGAAAGGTGACCCGATAGCCTGTAAGTAAGCGTTAATAGAGTATTTTATGAAAAATGGGTATCCAACTCGTTTTAATGCTGCTTCTTTATAAAAGCAATTTAATTTCTTCATCAAGACATTAAGTCAAACTTGACTTTAACAGTATTGCGCGTTATATACGCGCTGTTATATGAGCTGATAAAGACTAACAACTGATTTACTTACGTCGTGATCCATACTTGTACATACGCTAGTTTCAATTAATTCACATAATCATGCATTAATGACTTCAGAATATTTATTCATTTTAAATTATATTAATTAAAACTTCTACTCCACATTGCAATTTCAATTAAAAAAAAAAAAAAAAAAAAAAAAAAAAAAAAAAAAAAAAAAAAAAAAAAAAAAAAAAAAAAAAACACCTTTTCAGTGGATTGATAAATATAATAGGCATCTTTAATTCATATAAATCTTTAAATGAATATAAAGAATGTATTTTACATTCTTATTCTGTTAATGGTTTGCGAAGCATTTGAAATTGAATAATCATTTTGTTTCAATTAATCATTCACATCGGCTCGAAATCATCAATAATTAAAAAAAAAAATAAATAAAATCGCAATACTCACGAATATACAAATATCAAAGACTTAAGAACCGAACCACTGAGAATTTTAAAAGCACATTAAAACTTCACAACTTTGAAATTCAATATCTTCTAATGAACGAAACTTTTAAAATAAAAAAAAAATTCAGATAATAATAAACTAATTATCGTTTGCAATTGAATGCTCAGTAAGCCAAAGAACTTTGTAATAAGCGCCTTGTGAACTTTAAATAAATAATTTATATTATCATTATCGTATCTCTATTAATGATTGAAATCAAAATTTTGTTATTTTAATTTAAATTGCTATATTCTCAAAATTATTTACGTCAAATATACTTTCTTTTAATTATTTTTTATAATCCAGCCTAATAAATGTCATCTTTATAAGCTGTTAATGGTAGCGGGTCTCAACGAATAAAGCAACGATAAAAATTAACACAAATACGATGGCTAATACTAAGCATAATTTTAATTAACGATCAAGAAAATTGTAAAATGAAAATGAAATGGACTTACAACTTAAATTAAATAAAGCCATAACATTTGGAAATAAAATAACGTGAAATTTTTTAAATATATCGGAAAATAAAATCTGAAACATTTTTTAAAAGCTGCATAAATTTCACAGTTATTATTTATCAGATTGAGAGAGAAAAACGTTAAAGATTTACAGATCCGATTCAATAATCAGGTAAATGAAGAAAAAAAATCGCCTTTTCACGAGCATGCGATAAACAAGATCGGTAAAATAAAATAAAACGCAATACAGCTAATTGATGATCCGCTTACAAATTACAACTACAAGTACTGCACAGTAGCGATAATGTTTGATAAAAGTAATGGAACGTACCTGGAGCTGACGGGACTCCTGACAGACTTCCTCTTATCCCTCCGATCTTTTTCGTGGTGACGGTGCCTTCTCGCAGACTCGTCCCTTCGCCGCCTTTTGCTCGACGAGGAAGTGGGCGATCTAAGGAGGAGCTCGTCAGCTCTGCTGCGCCTGTGAGAACTCGGGCTCGGGCTGAATTCCCGACGGCGCATAGACTGCGGCGTAGGGCTAGGACTGTGCCTCCCGAGTCTATGCATCGAAGAAGGCGCGTGCCCCGAAGGACTATAGTCCCTTCGCCGTGGTGGACTGTGATCTCGTCTCCGACTCGGGGGACTAGGACTGTGAGGTCTTCGCCTGCCGGGACCGCTCAAGTGGTTCGGGCTACCGTGGCTATGGGGATGGGGATGGGGATGGGGATGGGGATGGGGATGGGGATGGGGATGGGGATGGGGATGGGGATGGGGATGGGGATGGGGATGGGGATGGGGATGGGGATGGGGATGGGGATGGGGATGGGGATGGGGATGGGGATGGGGATGGGGATGGGGATGGGGATGGGGATGGGGATGGGGATGGGGATGGGGATGGGGATGGGGATGGGGATGGGGATGGGGATGGGGATGGGGATGGGGATGGGGATGGGGATGGGGATGGGGATGGGGATGGGGATGGGTATGGGGATGGGGATGGGGATGGGCATGGGGATGTTGGTGGGGATGTGTATGTGGGTGCGAATGCGGGTGAGACTGATGCAGCAGCTGCTGCTGTTGTTGCTGTTGATGCTGCTGTTGTTGGGGCTTGTGTCTCGCGTCGGGACTGTGGTGGCCGCCCTTGGACTTGGATTGATGGTGGCCCTCGGGCGTTATCGCACGGGGTGGCAAAAGGGGCGTGTGCGGCGACTCGGCCGCGTGCCTCGGGCCCGTCTGCTGATGCAGCAGCGACTGGTGCTGGCTCGGAGGCGTAAGTTGCCGAGGTGGCGACTCCAAGTCCATGTCGCTAGGCGAACGCCGCTCCGGGGGCGTCGCCGGCGATATCGGCGAGGTGCTGTCTTTGAGAGCCATCATCGGGGGTGACGGACCCGGATGTTGCATTCGCCAGTTGGCGAGCGCCTGCGAGTGCAGCAGCTCGGTACCCGTGACGATGACGTTGGGACTGAGACTGCGCGAGGCGCGTTTCGACTTGCGTTTTTTCTTCTTGCCAACGCTCGAACCCGGACTCAAGCTACCACGGCTCTTCTTTTTCTTGTCGCGTTTGTGTTTCTTCTCCTTGCGTCGCGAACCTAATCGCCGACTGTCCTCCTGGTAGTCCGGCAGTATCGATACCTGGTGCTCCTCTTCCGGGGGTGAGTAACGTAGCGTCTTTTTTGAGTGACGATGGGGCGCGCCGGTGATCGTCTGCTGCATCGGCGGCGTCGGCGAGAGACTGATGGGCGAGGTGTCGAGGGCCCGAATCACGGGCCCCGTGTCCCCGCCACCACCATAGTAACGACTTCGTTGCAAAAGGGAGTCGGGTACCTCGCCGTCCGTGTAGCTGTTATTTCCGCCCCGACTGTCCTCCGACTGTATCTCCCCAGCTTCCGGCTCGGACAGGTCCTCGCTGCTTACGTCCGAGTACTCGACCAAGGGCTTTTTAGCCAGGGCCAGGCTTTTATCGTCGCGCGACCGCTTCTTCTTCTTTTTTCCGAAGCTACTGCGACTGCTCTTGCCGTGTCTGCGATGACGCTTGCCACCCTCGGCTCCAACGCTGGTGGCGACCGCGGCGGCGGCGGCCGCCGCCGCGACCTCGTATGCATGGCTCGAGCGACTCCCGCTGCCCAATTCGCTGCCGCCGAGGCTACTCGTGCTGTCCTTCCGGCGCACGGACTTGTAACGACCGTTGCGTTCCGCGCGTTCGATCTCACGACTGCTGGGCATGTCACCTGCTGCAAACAACAAACCGATGCTTCGTGTACTTTTTCTTCGGTAAGGCTTGTTAATTAGCTTTGCTTTAGGGGTATGATGTGTTTAACGCTGATTTACGGCCAACGATATCATGACAGACTCAAGTTCATAGTTATAAATATTTGTACGTTTTTGAGCGACTATCTGGCAAGTTCTTACTTCACAACTACAGTATTAGTGCCAGGGTTTCGTTTTTCTAAAAAACTTTTTAGGAAATTTGACCGAGTTTATCCTGTACTTAATAAATTGATTAGTAAGGAAATTAAAATTAGGTTAAACAAAATAAAGGTATTGATGAATGAATAAATTATTTCTTTACAAGCTGAGTTTAATTTTTTTAATAATTGTGTGTGGGGGGGGGGGGAGATTATTACTATTATTATACAAAGAAATAATTTTATCGCACACATACACAAGTTATGAGCTTTTATTTGAGGCAATATTTAAAGATAATAATCTGCACTGTTTCGGATATATATACAGTAAGGTATCGCTTTTTTTTTTGTTTTTTAAATATTAATTACTCCAACTTATATAGTAAATAACAGCAAGCCAATTATATTACAAATATTATAAATTTTTAATTCGATTCCATTTTAAATATTGTATTTTTTTTTTATATTATCTTACTTTCTGTTTGATTTGAAACAGATTACAGAATACTGCCAATTTTGAAAATGAAATTTTTTATCAAAGCTGCATAAGTAAGTATTAGCGTTTATTTCCCACACAATTACAAATCCTTCAAAAAAGATTATATAAAAGAACTATGTTGAGCATATTACATTTGTATCACACTATCATAAAAACCTATAAATTTTCAAACATTCTAATTGCAATAAGAAGCTTTATCTTACATGATTTTATAATATATATTATTAAAATTATAATTAATTTTTATACATTATATCAGAAGGTTAAATAAATAAATAAATAAATAAATATCAGTTTTTACTTTCAATAAATTAAATATGAGATTATATTACACCTTATATATTTCTTTTGTGCGTATAAGTATATAAATTAATTTTAAAATACCTAACTATGCTACATTCCAAATTAATTATAGATTTGAAAAAAGTCGAACAATTATTTTATTTATTAATTAAATTTAGAATTATTAAATAAAACAAAAACATTAAAAAACTGACTTTAATATTAGTATATTTGTTATTTTTAATTTTTATAAATTATCACTTGAATCTATATATTTCATCGATTTCCAACTTGTATTATTTCATGCTTAGCTAAATTGTATATTACAGTTCATAAAGATCGACTAAAAACTGTACTCCTTCAGATACTTTTATGTTACTATTATAACAAAAGTGGTAATGTAAAAAAATTATATAAGCAAATGAAAAATTTAATATAACAAAAACAATTTGTATATTTGTAAAGATTTTTTTGTATTAGAAGAAACATATACAAATTTATTAAAAATTAATGATACTCATTTAAAACTTATATATCACAAAAAATAAAGTTTTAATATGATAAAAAAATTTAATATCACTTTTTGTTAGTAAATAATTTTCTTTTAAATTGAAAAGCAATCTATTAAACTGACTATTTTTTGCTATATTAAATAATTGTTGAAAAATGCTAGAATTTATATTTTACCTTAAATTTAAAATAATCGAAAACCATAAAATTGTTATGCGAATTAAAAAGATTAATTAAGCTTTCATCAAATTTTTTCAGATAATCAACATTATCGAAAATCTTATATTGAATATACGAAAATATACATCATATTTCACTGAAACAATTCTTTGTAGTTGTTGTTTTTTTTATGATTATGTCTAATTAATACACATGTATTAATAAGCTTTACAATTAGATATAATCTAACATTTTATATAAAATAAAACTTGTTATTTTTCATCAGTTATGACATGTTGTAACTAAAAAAATAATGTCTAATTAAAATAGGCGTTAAATACTCATAATAAAATTATAATTTAATACTGGAACAATTTACAATATTGTATATCTTTAATACGTGACTAGTGTGAAATGAAAATATTTAATATTTGTTAGGATATTATTCAATTGATGAACAAAAATTATATTAATACATCATGACTTTTCATAAAAGTAATTTTAATATTACTGAGTACGTTAAGAGCAATTAAAAATTATATAAAATAAAAAACTGATAATAGTAAATTTTATGACTGTCCTCTTTAAAGTTAAAGTAATACTAATGAATTTGA